TGACGTTAGTTAAAATTAGTTGACACACTAGCTCATATGAAGTATTTGATTTTGATGTTTTCGAAATAAGAGCTTCGAGTCTCACGCATTACGACATTTTACCACGACAAAATCATTATGATCATTGCCTAATCTTTACGTATGTACTTCTGCAATTAGTAAAAAGTATTATTCTTGTTTCATTACGACAGCATGCAATAATCACAACAATCAACAAATATGTATATCTACTTTTGGTAAGAGAATACCAAAATTATAGGAGTGTTTAAAACTGCAATTTGACTTCTTTTTTTACATCAATCATGTGATTATAAACCAAAATCCAAACTAATTGTTTAATCCGTCTATCGTATCAGAAATATTATAAATAAAAAGTCACATAGATCATAGAATAGGATTCATAACTTCAAAAAACAAAACGAGTCAACAACCATATGATATAAACAATACCACCCATTACCCATAGATCATATCCTTTGATTTAATTATTATATCATAGATAAACAAAAACTAATTGCAATAAAAAGTTATGACAAAAAGTTATGATGAACTAGAAAGATCAAACTTAATCATCATTAAATCCACGAACCATCGTTGTCTCTCTCGTCACCATCACTAATCAACGATGTTTATATAGTTTTGTTTGAATTATTACATGACCAGAGGTGATAATTACTTAATTAGATAGAACTAAACTGGACCCTACTTTCCCTATCATGTTATAAACTTATGTCACTTATGTAAATTCTGAGTCTTACAAATCCGTGCTTAGATCAAAGCTAATTAGGTCCGTCCTCCATTAAACGAATAAATTTTGGATATCGTCGATATTAAGAAAACGTGAGTATTTTCTTGTTACCAGAGGAAATATGTACGTGGAACCTCTGATCACCAATAGTTTTTAAATCGTGTGGATTAACAGAGAGCGTTAGCATAGTCGCGACACAGAGGATAAAATATAGCTGTACCGATGGTCCCACAAAAGAAAACCTCGCTACGAAGTGACTTGCCTGCAATTCCCGAGGTAAAAAGCGAATAAAAAAAAAAAACAATTACAGAATATTTTTTAAAAGTTTTAAGAAAAAAATTGGGAGAAAAAAAAAACTTATATAGAAAAAGAAAATCGCGAAAGAGGAAGGAACACAGTGCGCATCAGACTCTCTCCACTGTCTGTCTTAAGGAGATTGCATTCTCAAGAAGTTACATCAATT